AACTAAAGTGTCTCAGAGGTCCAGTAATACTAATGATATTATGGACCAGGACAATAATATAAAATATCTCAAGAATGATTTAGGGGAATGGGGAAAAAAAGATAAAAAAACAATTCTTTAACTTGTTGTATTTTTTCCCACACTAATATATTCTATATTCATTTGACTGTAGTTTCCAATAATAGAGGTGTGCTATAGCTAACTAACTACAGTTTCTGCCTTCAAAGTATGTTCCTTTCACTGACTTAGAAAGACCCTGTCTTTCCTAAGCCCACAGATTTTAATATTTTATCTTTGTCTTTGTCATTCTATAGTCTCATTACTATGTTTCTAGGTGCTTATTCGTTATTTATCCTGCTCACGGTATGAGGGATTTCTTTAATTTAAGAAATTACTCTTTCTTTAAATCTATAAAATTTTTAGTCATTCTTGCTCAAAATATTGCCTCGCCCTGATTCTCTTTCTGAAAGTTTATTAAACATTTTCATTCTATTTTATCCTACTTTCATTCTTTTATTAATAAATCTCATTCTTTTTCTTTTCAATTAACTTCCTATTATCCATCACTTTGTCCCTCTGTAGAGAATTCCTACCCAATATTTAAACCATTCACTGAGTTTTTAATTTCAATGATAATATTTTCATTTATTGTCTTATAATTTCTACTCATACCTTATTTCTTAGAACTCTTAAAAACACTTATTTTAAAGTAATTTTTAAAGTACCTTTCAACAATTGGAGTAGTATTCCTCCCACCTGAGGTGCAAATTTTCTCATTTGCTATGCAATTCATTTCTTTCCATGGTTTGTAATATTGAATTTCCCATTAAAATCTTTTGTGTATTCTCTGAAACATCCCTACTGAATATTTTCAAGTTTCCTTCTACAAGGTCATACTGGTTCTACAAGGGTCAGACGATTTTGAAGATAATTTCTCAGCTCAACAGACCTTGGACATAGAGGCAGCATAATCTAAAACTCTCCTTTCACGTGTGGCACAGGCCTGGGGTTCCAATTTTTTCCTACCCAACGTCCACAACAGACATCTAATTCCCCTGTATGTGAAAGGCAGGGATGTTCTACGCCCCATTTCACAATTGGGCAGCCCCTCCTGCCTCCCAGCTTCACACAGGTAGCTCTTCTCTAGTCCACAGGGGTTGAGGCCTAGATTTTCCTAATGTTACAATTATCAACTCCAGCCTCCAGCTAGGTTTGCACACCCGTGAGCTATTTAAACTTCAGTTCCTCTCAGCATCTGGTTTTGAATATCCTCTTTATTTCTAGTATCTGAGCATTTTTCTCACTTCCTTTTAAGGTTGGCTGAATACCCCACAACGCATTTGTGATATTTTACCTAGTTTCCACTCCATGTATTTAGAGAAGTCCTTTCACGTTAACAAAACTTTGGTAACCAAAACCTGACAATGATAGCATGAGAGACATAAATTACAAGACAATCATGACTAGGAACATAAATTTTAAAATCTTAAGTGAAAAATTAACAACCTGAGTGTAGTAATGTATTTTTTAAAAGTATCACAACTAAATGGGGTTTATTTCAGGAATGTAAGCCTGCCTTAACATTAGTATACTGAATAATGTAATGCACGGGTCAGCAAATTTTAGATAGGAAATACTCTGTGTGCCACATGAAGTCTCTGTCACATATTCTTCTTTAGGTCATTTTTTAACTTTTTTTTATGGTCTTTTCAACACGTAAAAACCATTCTTAGATCATAGGCCATACAAATACAGGTTGCGGTCAGTTTGCCAATCCCTAATAATAATTAAACGTACTAACAAAATAAGAAAAAATCATACAATTATCTCAATAGATGCATAAAATGTATTTGAAAAATATCCAACATTCATTCATGACTTTTTTAAAATAATGCATAATCTAGGAAGATAACTCCCTTAACTCAAAAAGGATTATAAACTGAAAACCTATAGCAAAATTCCTTCTTAATGGAGAAATGTTAGATTCTCTTTAAGACTGGGAACAAGATGAGAATGCTTACCGTTTCCACTTCTACTCAACAGCGTATCCTAGCCAGTATAGTAAGGAATTAAGAAAAGATGATTACGGTTTGAAAAGGAGAGGGAAAACTCAATAATACGATGGTTTAATTAGAAAACCCTGTGAAGTACAGATAAAGCATAATTTGAAATAAGAGAGTTTAGCAATGTGGATGAATATAAGATTAATATATATGTCTATTTATTCATGTGCCAGTTACTCAGTTGATGTTAGTCTGTGGGGGCTCTTGAAGGAACTAAATTAGGCAAGCTTTCTTCCAGAGAAAATTTTACATTAGCTTCTGTCTAGACACTACTGATCTGAGATTATCCCATTCAGGTATTAAGCAATTCCTTAAGGTGGGCATCTCAGGTTCAAGGCCTGATCTGCTGGTGGAGCCCAAAGCTTAGTCTACTTCCAGCACTGGATTTGTTATTTGCCTGCCGGGTAAACTCAGCATCTGTTCATAGTGCTAACTTTGATTTCCACTCATTGGAGTTTGTGTTGTTGTTTGTTATATTTTCATTCTGTGAGAGTTCCTTTACTATTTAATGCACCACTGTTATATGAGAAGTGTCTTATCCAAATCTAGTTGTATTGTAAAGAAAGGCCATTCTGAGCATCAAGTCTAAAGCATAATTCATAAAAACTATTACATATAAAAAAATGATTAAAAACAAACCCCAAATGTTAACACTAGTTGTTTTCAAAAGATAAGTTATGAGTAACTTTTCTCTCCTGTATTTTCCATATCTTCTATTCATGATCTTATTTTTGTTTTAAAGAAAAAGAAGCGATACACTTTATTTTTTTTAAGAGATTATACACAGGACACGTTAACAAATGATTTAAATATTATCGAAAAATAAAATACCAAACATATAGATGCTTTTCAAACAGTATCTTAATTAATTCTCATAAAAATTCTGTAACTTAAGTATCATTATCCCTAATTTTACAGAAGAGGAAACTGAAGATCAGAAAGGTTAAGTTACTTGCCCAAGTGACAGAACTGGGATTTGAATTCAGAAATACTTGTTCCGAGGCCAGTGCTTTTTCTACTGAATCATGCTGCCTCCCACAAGAGAGCACTTTCACATTACCACCTGCTAGTTCTAATTAAGAGATAGTAATTAAACAGTTCTTCACTCCTGACAACAATATTTAAGCTACTGGCATTTTAAAGAAATTAATACAAACAGCTTTTTATCTGCTGAAAGATACTATAACTAAACACAAATTTCAAGCTACTGCAAAGAGAAAAGACTCCAACATGACACAGTTATATGTATTTTCAAAGCGTGGTTAATTACATTACCTATTAATAGAACATAAAGTATAAAAATGTTGTTCAATGACCAATTTACTTATAAAAATGTTCCACTTGACTAGTAATCAAAACAATACAAAGAGTAACAATGACGTACTGATCAAAATGGCAAAAAATTTTGAAATAGTAATAGCCAGATTGGCCAAAAAGTGAAATTCTCATACATTTTAGGAAAGAATGTAACTGGTAAAAATTTGCCGTAGACCAAGTGATATTAGTTACACTTTAAAATATATAAGGCTTTTGACCTAGTAATTCTCATCCAGGAATTTATCTTGAAGAAATAATCAAGATATGTAAATAAAGATTTAGCTACAGGGTTACTAATCGTAGAAATACTTAATAATAGCAAAACAGAAAAAAAAAGAGAAACTGAAATGAATCTAAGTCTACAGAAGTAAGAAATTATGTTAATCAATTTTAATAAGTTTTTCTAAAAATTAAATCCCAGTTTCAATATTTATAGACCAGGAGACCTTGAGCAAGTCCATTCAACGCTCTCAATTTTATCAAAAACACAATGGAACACTAATAGTACCTATTTCAGAGAGGTTATTTAAGAATGATATAAAATAATTAATGTAGAGATTCAGCATAGAGCCTGGCATATGTATGATGTCAATCAATAATATACATAATGTGGTGATTAGGAAGGCAGATGTGAAATCTGACTCTCTTGGTTTATCACTTACTACTGCTTGTGCAAGTTATGTAACCTCTTTGTATCTGTTTTCTCATTTACAAATTGAGAATAATCCCATAGTTTGTGTCAGGTTTATATGAGATAACTGTTTATAAAGTATTTAGCATAGTGCCTGGCAAACAGGAAGCTCTCAATTAACATTAACTACTTCATGGGTAGTGTTAGCATTAGTTATTAGCCACTAGAATAAGTATTATTATTTGTATAATGAATTGTATACTAACTCTCAGTTGCTTACTGTTATTAAGTATGATATCCAATATAAAAGCTATATTATATCATTTTGTTTTTCCTAGCATTAGTCGTTCCATTCCAATATGTATAACCTCCCTAGTGAAAACTCCACAAGTATTATAATCATAAACTAGAATCGTATTATATTTTAGAGCCAAAATTTACAAAAGATACCAGTCTAAATTCCACCAATGAAATTTTCTAAGTGACAGCTATTTTATTGTAACTTCTCTTTTCTCTTCTGAATACCTTTCCCACATTAGAACAGCTCTTCTTAACCAAACTTCTTTCATCCCCAAACACCTACTTATATAAGAATCAGAAAGACCCATATCGAAAACCTTTCAAAATCCAAAAGATATGTGGAGTTTCGAGGTCCAGAGGGCACAAAACAAGTAAAAAAAAAAAAAAAAAAAAAAACTAAAGAGAGGAAGAAACAAGAAAGATAAATGAAACAAAAAAGAAAATTATTACTGAAAAAAATCTCCACTTTGTTTTCAACTAACAAGAAAAGCCTACTTTTACATTTTCAATACATGTGAATCACACTTGGAACTGGGTCCCGGAACCATGTTTCATTCCATCCTTATAAGCTCTTAAAGAATAAAAATTTCATGTCTCGAGATCAGTTCCCTATGCAGAAGATACACATGATTCCCTCAAGGACCCACACCCAGAGGAAACAAACCATTATGCAAGGACTGTTTTCCTACCTTAACAGCTTCTCCGAGAGTTTGGTTTTTGTCAGCTTCCTCACTGGAATGCAATTCAAGTCTATAGTTCAACTCCTGTAATTGTTGTGCCTGTTCATTCAATAGCATTTGTGCCTGCTGTTCCCGAAGTAATGCATTATTCAGTTCTTCACATGCACTTTCAAACTTCTCATGGGTGATCAATTTCTGAAGGGGGAAAAATTCAATTATCAGCTAACTGCATTTTGTATCATTTAATCTTCAGAACTGTATTTGCTAACATAAAGAGTATAATACAAATGTCTGTAAATGTCTGATAGATGACAAAAAAATAGTTTGTTTTTCTTAATTTCATGTCAAGATTAAAAAATAAACAAAAGCATTACTCTAGTTTTTAAAGCACAAAAGCCATACTTCCAAAGTTATATTTAGTCAAATAAAATCTTGGGGGTTGGCTCCATAGTGTAGCAGTTAGCATGTCTGCTTTACACGCAGAAAGTCCTGGGTTCACGCCCCATGTGGAGCCCCGGGTGCCCCAGGCCCCACCACCCAACTCCCAATGCAGTGCGGGGTGGGGAAGGCCCCAGGTGATCGCTGCCAGTGTGTGGAAGGAGATGCCCCGCCTTCAGAGATCCAGTTCTTAAGGGGAGAGGACAACATCCATAGGTCAGGGGTGGAAGTGGCCGGGGCAGGGGGAATTAGAGAGGGGGGAAATAAATAAAAATAAATAAAACCTTGGGAAACTTATTTCAAGTTCTAAATAGATCCACAATGCTCAGTTTAAATCTTGATACACAAGCACATTTTATAAAGATTATGACTGTGAGAATTAAAGCCTTTAACAAGTTCCTGTGCTCCTATTAACTAAAAGTCTGTGTTCGGTGTGTTATCCTCCAGGTCGCCCCAGTCATACGTCGCCTCCTGGAGAGTCCTTACCAAACCATACCTCCTGAATCCCACCTCAGCTCACATTATCATACCATCTTATTTTACTTTCTTCATTGTCATTATCATTATCTCCATCCATCTCATATAGTTGTCCACTTTTTTTATTGCCTGTCCACACCCCGCCACCAACCACACACTTTAAGGACGTGAACTCTACTGGGCAGGGACCACATCCACTTTCCTCACCAATACACAGAAGAGTGGCTGGTACTCAATAGAAGCTCAATAGATATTTGAGCCAATGAAACTCTGCACCATAATAAACAACATGGTTTTTATGATATGATGACTGCTTTGGAGAGCAAAGCACTCTGCTCTGGAATAACTAACGACAGTTCTAAGACGAGGGCCATTCCTTCAGGGGTATGGAATCCAGAGCAGAATACACTTATATTATCTCCTGTTCAAAACATTTAAACAAATGAAAATTAGTTACAACAAACAACAACTGACATCTTGATCTTGAAGTACAAAGAACAGGAAGGTTTCCCAAAAGGTAACCTGAGGAAAAAAAAACTAAAGAAAACCACAGAGGTCACTTAATCATAGTAAGTGTATACTTTTATCTATTTAAGAGTGATAACTTTCCTTTGTTGAAAAGAATTGGATGTGGATTAATATAATTAACCACTAATATAAAGCAAACTGATTTTTTTTAAACTGATTTTTTTAAAAAAATCTAGTTGAGGGGGAGTAGGAAAAAATCCCATTGATTCTAGGTATCCGAAATGTGTAAATTATTACAATTTAATGTGGACTTTACCTCTGAGTTTTCTGACAAATGAGACAAAAATAGAAATGTGCTTAGTTATAGTTTCCTCTTAGGCCAGCAATAGCAAGCATGTGATTCAAGTAGAGAGAAAAACTTTTGCCAAAGCTAAGTTTGAGGATAAATTTATTACATGGGTCTTTCTATATTATAATATATAAGTACTGTTTTACTTTGGTACCAGGTACCTGGCCTGCTACCTCCTGGAAGAAAATGTCTTTTACTATCATTTGCCTTTTCAAAGGTGTAGATAATGCATTCCTCAATACTGATTAAATTTCAAAAGGCAACAGTATAGCATAAAAATAGATTTCCTAATGATTAACCTAAGTTAATACAAAGTAATGAGAATGATCACAAGGCACATACAAAAGTTGCCTCATTTACTGAGAGTCAACTAGATAGTAGTCAACCAGTATCTAACAACACATCATTGAACTTGTACAGTGTTTAGATTTTAGGGAACACATCTTTTTACTTTCTCTTAACAGCTGCCTCACTCTCTACGATGTCCCATTACAAATAAAGCCTTCACTTTCAAAACATCAACTATAACAGCCTCCCCTTGGCACTCCAGCTCCATTTAAACTTCTTAATCTCTCTTTATTCCCTAAGAGAAACAGCACTCTTCTGGGTCTTGTGAACAAATATTTCTGTACTTCTATCTTTTATTTGTTATGTTGTTTTAAATCATCACTCCTTGCTATCAGACCATTCTGTTCTATGCAATCTACTTGACCTCTACAAATCAAGATCCCTGACATTTTGCAGGACTTCTTCCCACTCCTCCAGAAATCCTCCTTTACCTAAATACTTAGCTAATTTTAGCCTCGCTCTTGTCTATTCTCTATCCTTCCCAGAGACTCTCTCAATTATGTTCACTCTTTTGCAAGCAAATAGAATCAAACAGGTATAGCAATGTAAAGTAAGAAAGAGATGGTATCTGAAAGCAGTTGTAAGGGGCTAATAAACCAAAATAAGATCCTGGGGGTTAGTTGTTAAAGGCATCAGTAGTAAGGAAAGTACTGAATAGCTTTTGGCAAGCTGGATGTTTCCTTTTACATTACATTTTAGACCAACCTTATCAAGCTATTTTATCTTCCTCCTACATACTTTGCTTGAAATCAGTGAAAGATGAATCATTGCCGGCACACTCCCAATTTTTTTTAGAGGAAAATATCCTTTATTAACACAGCTAGGTATGAACATTAACCACTACAGTGAGGTGGTTAAAAGTATGAGTTTTAGAACCTGATTACCCAGATTCAAATTCTGTCATTTCCACTCACTAACTGTAACTTTTGGCCAGTTACTTAGCTGCTCTGTGTTCCATGGTTCTCATCTGTAGAAATATAACAATAGTATTGAACTATTATTGATATGAAAGGACAAAATGAATCAACACTCTAAAGTGCTTAGCGTCAGTGCCTGATATATGGTCAATATGTCATTAAATGTTAGAAATCATCACTCTGTCACTTATACCTTATATGTCAAAATACAAAAATTACATACACCATTCCCTCAATTATTACTTCAATTAATCCTATTCTTATATCTTTACTTCAGTGGAAGTATTTCACACTAAACATTTCCTGTAATATATTCTTAGCTTTTGCTGCAGGCCAGTTAGCTTTTAACCAAAGCCCTTACAAGAGGATTCTATCACCTTCCAGCAATTTTTCTTCAAACTCTTACAACCTCTCTACATTCTACAAATTGAGTCCTGACTACTTCCAAATTAACCAAAGATAAGGTGTTAACTTGTTTTCCTAATACTTAACTAGGAACTAGGAAATCATATTGTGTGGAATATCTAAAATTCTTCATACATATTTCAAGGAGTGATATAGATAAAGAATCTTTCAATTTTCAGGAAATCCATTATTAACTAAATCTACTTATAGTTGACTATATTCTAAATCTCAAATTGCATTAATGGCTGTCTCTTTCCATTTTGGCAGACCATCTCAAGATCCCAAATTTAGTTAGTACATAAAATTGAAAGCAAACCAAAGAAAGAGAGAGAGACACTCCAAAGGAACTGGCTTTTAAAAGTATACACAACAGCTTTCTATGTTTAAGTATAATGGCAAAAGAAAAAATTTTAGAAACAGTCAAAGTTCGTTTCATACATATCATACATCCATATGACAGAACAGTATTCATTTATCTAAAATTAAATTAATAATAAGTAACACAGAAAAATGTTAACAGTACTTTGTTTACGTATATATGCAAACTGCACATGCAAAATCATTCCAAACCACAACTATGCATAAAGACATGCATATAAATCTGTACACTGAGAAAAATGTAAGAAACAAAATGCATCCACACTTCAGAAATGACTGGTTCTGGGTGGTAAGATTCAAGTGATCTGAACTTTCTTTATACTTTTTTCTATTTTCATTTATGACTATTATGCGCTACCTTTATAATCAGGAAAAGAAATGTTGAAGCAACTCATAAATTTTTCTTCTCTGAGCAAAAAACAAAGGAAGCGAAGAAAAAAAGGTGTTTTCTTTAGACATTCACCATAAAGAATACTATTACTTATCTCTAGTCAGAGGGTAATTCATGATTACCTGACCTGCCTAATTTATAAGAACTGTTCATCCTTTGAAAGATAGCTATCCGAAACAATAATTAACATTAGCAGTTTACATTATCATAGGATTAATAACTAAACTATCTGCTGTTCTCTGTTCCAACAAATGTTAAAACTACAAATTCCATATTAACCAACAGGTACTTTTAAACTGAAGTTAACTTGCAAAATTTAGGTTTTCCAAAGAAGAGAGTACTCAAAGTAGCTTGTTGCTAAATTTAAGAAACAAATTTTGTACTCACATTCATATTTAGTTGTCATCAGTTGTATACAGTTTTGAAGTTTTAGAAAAATCGTTTAACTCTATATTCCTATATTGATATTAAAAACAAAGTCAATAACTAACCCAGCTGCAAACAGAATGTGTGGAGATCTGCATTTTGTTGTGCTTCATATGTTTACACATTTCAATCTTGATCTAACGTTATTTGGCTTTTCTTGTCTCAGCTATCTTCTGCTTTCTTAAATAATACATATAAATCCTTGATGGATGTTACGCAAAATGAACATTTCTTTGGAAAAGCTCTTGATTTCATACTAAATAACCTAATTTACTCAAAATATTCAATGTAAGATGAAAAAAGGAAATTCCATCCCCCACACCAAACATCAGTTTTCCCCCTTGGGGGTATTTTATTTATTTATTATTTATTTATTATACATTTGGGGGCTTATTTGCTGTAGCAGTTAAGCTACCCTAACTTAATCGTTTTCTTTACTTTCAGTCACAGCATACATTTTAACAGAGTTAAGCGTTCTACTGACACAGAATCAGTATTCCTAAGCATCTGGTATAACTTTTTTTTAATTGAGATATATTTGACATAAAACATGTAGTTTAAGGTGCACACGTGTTAATTCGATAAATTTATATGCTGAAATATGATAACCACCATAGCATTAGCTAACAACTCTATCACATAGTTATCATTTGTGTGTGTGTGTGCGTGTGTGTGTGTGTGTGTGTGTGTGAGAGAGAGAGAGAGAGAGAGAACATTTAAGGTCTATTCTCTTAGGACTTTGAAGTATATAACATTTATTGGGGCATTTTAGAAGAGAAGTGCTCTGAAGAAAAAGAAACCTTAATGGGAATTTGAATTATTTGAAAAAACAAACAAAAAGTTAAAGAAAACATGTAGCTAGATCGAGATAGATAGATAGATAGATAGATAGATAGATAGATAGATAGATAAAGATAGATAGATAGAATCAAAGGACAGTTCACCAAAACCATAGTTCTTAAATCATATATACTTACAGATTGCTTAAATTCATTTAATTGCATTTGGAGACCCTGGGCTTTGTCAAGCTCTTTTTTCATTTCATTCACATTTCGTTTGAATTCTGTGACCTCTAAGCGCAGTGAGCGACGCTCCACTTCTGCTGCGTGCAGCCTTTGTGTAAATGCAAATATTTGCTTCTGTAATGATGCTGTGCTTTTCTGTTGTTAAACAAGAGCAATTTTACAAGACATAACTACAGGTTTACTAATTAATTAATAACAATGACCATTTTACCAAATTTAATGTAACAGGTTACACAGAGAACAATACGAGCTATAGCTGAAACTTAGAGGTGAAAACTTTATTTTTATGTGACAAATAATTTGGCTTATATGAAATGAACAACTGAAGAAAAGAAATAATCTAGATGGCTGGAAAACAGAACTGATGATCGCTTATATCTCACACAATTTCGTTGCAGTAAACTTATAGGGAACAGTCAACTCAGAACTCAGGCCAGAACTCTGTATTTTGACATTTGGCCACATTTGGAAGTGCATGATATCTAAAGGAAATCAAGATATAGTCATGTACAACTAATTTAAAGTACAAATAAGCCTGACTCAGAAATAAATTTACAAGTCCTAAAGTCCCTATTTAATAAAATTTCATACCTACCAAAATGGGCACATGGCCACACAGTCCATATTTCAGGGCCAGTGTGTTTACTTTATGAAGTCCACGGGCCAGTCTCTGAGCCAGGGAATCTTTTTCTACATATGTAACACTCCTGATGTTGCTGCTACTGTGCAAAGGTAAACTCTCCATTGCCAAACTAATTTTATCCATGAGTTTTGCAAAAGAACTCTTGGCTGCACCTATAAGTAAATGTCCACAAACTCTGGAATTCGGATCTTCAAAGAAAAAGAAAGACAGAAAAATGTGAATTGTCTCTTGTTCATTTCACAACACTTCCGATCACAACACAGTGGAAGTATTTCCTCAAATATACAATTCTCATTCATTATAGTGATAGTAATTCATTCAAAAAGTCCCCTCCCACTTTAATTTTCACTGTAAATAAAGGAATGTATTTAGTTCACCTACTAAATGATATATCTAAAGAAAATCTGCATGGACTTACAGTATATCATTCACACTGAACACTAGGATACTAAAAATTTATCGCCACTCTTTTCTTGTTTTAAAACGTAATATAAATTCATTTTCTATTTACAACTATTGAAGCTTATTACCTTAATGTCACACTATTTACATTCTCAGATGAGAAAATATAATTTGCCTTATTCCAAGGCAATTAAACTTTACAACTACAATTACTTATTTCCCCATGGATTTCGGTAATCATCCCTCTCATACAATGGACTTAAGGTCCTAGAAAATCCAACATGGCCTGCTTACTGCCAGATTCATCAGGTCTGTAATTAATAATTGCATTTAATGTTGATAAATGAAATTGTCAGTGCTCTTTCTACCAATTGGCATTCCAGATAATAGTTAATAGGTTTATTTATGCCTTAATAAAAGTTGTGTAATTTAGTTTTCCCACTGCCAGGCAGGTATTAATCTGTCATTACTTGTCTTATGGTACTATCCATGTAAAATGACAAGCATGAAGAGATTATTTAAATTCAGTAGTATACCATTCTATATTTCAAGAGCCTCTAATTTTGGTGTTAATTTAAATTTTGTCTTCACATCATAAGCACAGAAAAGCATAGTTGGTCTGTTTTATCCAATAGAAAAAAAAGTTTTCTAATTCTAAGAATATGTATGGTTCAAGAGTAAAGTGCAACACTGACTAAGAAGGTAATCAATCAATGTTTACTATGTCATGAGGAACTGTTTCACAGAAGTTTTATGTTAAAAAATTCCAGCCTTGTTTAATTTCTTCTATTCTTCAATGTATAAAAGATCAATTTTTAAATTTATGCAGCAGTCAGAATTTGAAAACCATAATGCCTAGAAGTTATACATAACATAAAAATTATTAATTGGATAAAAGCATAAAATAAAAAATTAATTGGATAAAAGCATAATATCTTCCATTTAAAATTTATTTCTATCAATTACTAATGTATTGACTTCTAAGCATATAACATAAGGTAATATAAGTTTAATTCTATATGCTTCTCATAATCATACTATACTCTCTGAGAATCCCCAGGATGGAAGACAAAGTATATTTGAAATACATAGTTCCTTTAACAATCAAATTCCTTAAATAAATCATGAATAAAAAAGAATTTAATAGCTTTATTTGTCAATCAACATATAATGCAGAACACTGAGTTAAAAGAATTACTAAATCATAGTACACATTTAATAGATCGCTGCTGAATAAATGAACAGTGAAATTTATTTTACCTAGAACATTCAATATAATACATCATTCCAATGCCTAATACCCTGTTTCTCCAACTGGTTTGCAACTCCTTAACTGTGTCTTTTTTCTTCTTAGTAAACTCTTTTTATCTGTACTGTGCCAGCCTAGCATATTTTTATATGTTGAATTAGTGATAATTCTTTTTTATTTCCATAGCAACTACAACAATGCTGAATACAAAAATGCATTAAATAATAGCAGGAGAAATTAATAATAACTTTTATGGTATGTCAAAAGTTAGTCTTTTTAAATAAACAAGATAGTTCATTGTTTTAAGAAATTTTCACAGATAAAGTGACTTTAAAAGCAAAAATCAACTACAATTAAATTTTAAGGAGTAGTGGCTTTTAGGATATCACAGAAATGTGTTTGTGTAGACACTAACCATTCTAAAAGGTGAATTAAGTAACAATATAATTCTACAAGGTATTCTTCTGAATTTTTACAAAGAGAGAAAGAGGCATACCCTCTAAGTCCCTGACTACTGACTCTCCATGAATTACAGAAAGAGCACTAAATAATTTATTCCTTGATGAGGAATAAGTGTTTTTATAATATACTTCACATTATACAATATAGAGCACAATTAGTTCAATATTAAATAAATGAAAAAAAAAACAAAAAAAAAATCTTTAGTGATATAGTTGTAGAATTATTTGTATAATGATCCCGAAATAAGAGAAAGAAAGTCACCAAAGTTTTTCATGTCTAAACTTGTCTATGGACAATGGACTAGTGGTTACCAGAGGGTAAGCGTAGGGGAGAGGGGTAAAGGGGATCAAATATAGCGGGGTAGTGGGAGGGCGAAGTGGGTAAAGAGGATCATCAAATATATGATAGCAGAAGGAAACTGGACTTTGGGTGGTAATCACACAATAGAACATATAGATGTCAAACTATAATGTACACCTAAAAATTGCATAATTGCATTAACCAATGTTACCCCAATAAACTTAAAAAAATAAATTAAATTAAAAAATAAATAAATAATAAAAAATAAAAGTAGATAAACTTGTCTAGGTTGTTTAAATATTTGACTAGCTACATTTAACAAATTCTTGTTTACGTTAAATATATTTGTTAATCACTTTCCCCTATTTAATAGCATGTATCTTTTAAGGAAGAAGAGAACCCTATGTTCTGCCATTACTTTTTCCAATGGAAGAGGCAATATTGTATATCTAAGTCTAAAACTTCAAAAGAAATTCATAAAGAATTGTTTCAAACACGAGATCTAAACCTGTGGGTTACAGATCTCATGGTAGAAGAGAAGAGAGACTGAAAAGTTAGAGTTTCATGACTTTTAACTGCAGCAGCTATTGCCAATTTTATCTTTACTTAGCCCTAAAAAATATACACAGCATGAATATCTTATGTTCATGATGTTGTGACTAATAAAATTAAAAGTCCATTAAAACATTGCAGAAGTCAACTGCTACGAAAATACAACTATTACGTGGGAGAGAGCAGACTACAATATGTTTTCTTATTAAAATGAAGTACCTCACACTCAAGAAAGATTGAGAAACACTCCTTCAATGAAAAAAGGGAAAAATGAGTAATTATTTCATTAATATGTATGTAAATATGTAATTGTTTAATTATTTAAGAATAATGTTAGTCATGAATGTAATATTAATAATTAGTAATATAATAACGAATGATATTAATAATAATGTTAGAAATGTTAATCATGGTTAAATCATGGTTAATGTTAACTGCATGAAATTTCGACCCAGTTCTACACACCTGGGTATGTTTTGTCATCTTTGACATCTCCATCTCCCTTGCCATCTACCCCACATCCTGCCCTTAATAGTTCTCCAATCTATTCAATGTTCTCTGTGATCATGGCCTTATCTCATCTATATTCTTGCAAGAGTCTCCCTACTCTTCTCCCGTCTTTGTCCTCTTCAATCCATCCTCCACTGTAGATAAAGTGACTTCTAAAATACAAATAGGATATTGTCATAATCCCTGCCTTTAAGCTTTAATGACTCTAATCAGATCTAAGAATCCAAACTCCTTAAAACATGCTCATACAACCCTACATGATCTGATCTCTGCTTACTTTTCCAAAAACACCTTTCACTATTACCCTTTCTATAAGCAATTCCTTTCAAGTGACGTCGACACATCACAATCGTAAAGCATTCCTCTGAGCAAAAATGATGCTTGTGTCTCCAAAAAACTAATAATTTAGGAAATGTGAATGTGGACATCAGTTTTCAAACATGGGAGTCAATCATTATGATAAGATATTTGCTTCAAAGAAGTGTTCTATCTAAATAAAAAATAAAATAAAATGCTATAAAAACAGCCCAAAATACTATTTTAAAAATTAATAAGATAATTTGTCTTACCATATTTTAAACCATCAAGATATACTCATGAAAATAGCAGTATGATACTGGTACTAGAAAAGATAGGGAGACTAATGGAACAGAATGGAGAGACATGAAAGAGATCAAAATACAATAATTTAATATATACTAAATGATATACCTTAACTCAATGGGGAAAAAGATGGCTGACTGAATTAAAAAGTGTTGGGACTAGCTGGTCATCTGAATACAACTAAATCTTAACCATTTTCTCACTACTTACACCAAAAATAATTCCAGATAAATCCAAGATTTAATACAAAAATGGAAAATACCGGACTAAAATATGAGCAATACAACCTTGAGGTAAAGCTAGCCTAAGCGAATCACTAAAAGACAATTTTATCCACAGAAAAATTAAAATACAAACTAAAAAATAAATTTACATTATATATGGCAAAGTGTTAACATGGGTGATACTCAAGTTTTTATAATTCAGTAAGAAACAAACATCTCCCCCTTATATGAACATAATGAGATAATTTGTAAAATAATATAAATGGATGCAGAACAAATGAAGATATGTAATCTAACAATCAAAAATAACTAATAATATAGTTTCTTTTGCCTTTCAAATTGATAAAGATAAAAAAAAACTGTCAAAACTTCATGTTCCAAAGGCATTATGAAGCAGAACTCTCGCTACTGTTCATGAGAGTGTAACGTAAAGCAATTTTTATGAAAGGCAGACTGGCAATACTTTCCAATGCAAAATATGCAAACTCATTTCTCAAGAATTTAGCCTGAGAAACAACTATATAAGTATAAAATGACTTTATGCACAAATATATTTATTACAGCATAATTTATTACAGTATTGCTTAAAATAGTGAAAAACTAAGAAAAACACCAATATCCATCAATCAGGAATTCAGAGTAAACTACAGTGAGTATGTGTGTGTGTATATGTACACATTTTAAAAGACATAGCATAGTAAAAGTTATTGCTTAGCCAAACTAAGAATGCTGAACTATGAACTGACCCTTCAAGAAGGCAACATATATGTCATGTTGGACATGAAATTTTTTTTTATTTTTTTATATTCAAAAGTGATGAAAATCCTGGTTCACAAATAGGTACTGCTGCAAATGTAATTAAAGTTTCTATGTTTCACTTTACAAG